GGTTGTTGAGGGGCCGAGCGAATGCAAGCCGCGTGAGCTGAAAAGAGAGTGGGTGGCAGGGAACGCGCGGTGGCGCTTTTGTATCGACTGCCGCTTGGACTTCAAATGTGGCCGCACGGACGGTGGCACGGAGGGAAACTGGAGTGCTTTGGGCGACTTCATGATTCTGCCGCCATTAGTCGGAAGGCCAGAACCGTTGAGGGTTTTGCAGGTTTGCACTGCCAGACCCGCTGGCGGAGACGCCTTCGTTACGGCAGCACTGAGGGCGTCGCTGCGGAGGCGGCCGGCGGGCGGGAGGCCCGCAGCGACACTTTAGCCAAAAGGTTGCGGATCCCCACTGCAGAGGTTGTAAACCAGGCTTCCCAACGCCTCCAAACGGTTGGGGATGCTGGGAGAGGGTCCCCGCGTCTACCTGCGACTACCTGGCCCACTACGGGGTTGCGGATGCCCAACGCTGGACATTGGGGATCCACAACGGGGATGGGAGAGGGGGAACAGGCACTCCGAGACGAGATGGTCAGAGCTACAGCCGACACTAGCTCCATCTCGCGGTCGCGGCGCGAACTAGTATGTAGTGTATGTACCTTGTATGTACTGTACAAGCAGGCTTAGCCGTCGCAATAGACAAGGAAATGGTTTATTGTGGTGTTATTGTTTGCATTTCGATGGTTTATTTAATGGAGTATTGAAAAGTAAGTGGAACTACTGCCCTACAGTGTTTTTTGCTTCAAGTAATTATCGTTGAAGTGTTAGAATCCTCCTTTTTAATGCTAAAATCACTTTTTTTGAAATTCTTAAAATTTAAAAAATTTAGGTTTTCAACATTTAAAAAAAATGCAAAAAGGTTAGGATCAACGTCAAACTCGATTAAAAAATTTTTGGTCCAAATTTGGTCAAAATTAGGTAAAGCGTGAGTCGGGGAAAAAATTTGGAAGTCATTTTTGAGTTCAGCACACCAGAAACTGCAGGAAACAATATAAAACTCGACTTGAAAATTTTGGTCCAAAATGACCTAATTTGGGATGAAAATATAAGTCTGGAGTCGAAATGGAAGTGATTTTCGTTATCAGGACACAAAAAACTACTGAGATCAACATCAAACTCAACTCAAAAATTTTGGTCAAAATTTTGTCAAAATTAGGTAAAGTGTGAATCTGGGAAAAATTTGGAAGTCTTTTTTGAGTTCAGCACACCCAAGACTGCAGGAAACAATATAAAACTCGACCTGAAAAGTTTGGTCAAAAATGAGCTAATTTGAGATGAAACTATAAGTCTGGAGTAGAAATGAAAGTGTTTTTCATGATTGGCACTCCAAAAACTGCAAGAATTAATGTGAGATTCAATTGAAAAATATTGATATTGAATTGATTAATAACGGATAGAGTATGGGTCTGGGTTCATGGATCACCCCATGTCGTCACCCTAATGCGAAACCAATGCGATTCCTCAGTCGAGTAACATTCCATTGAATCGCTTAATTGGCTAATCGTCTGCTTGAGTCACTACTCGATATATCTGTTTCTTCAAACTAATGAATTTAAAAATTTTATTAGTTATTTTGAGTAGCCTTTTGTCATTCTTTCATTTTAAACCAGTGAATTAAACAATATAGACTGGAATATGTAATCATAGGTTTTATTAAGTGAATCAGTTTAGGGCAGGCTGATCTGAAGCATAAGACGGAGACCAAGTTTTGTCCAATTCAGTGAATTGTCTCATGAAGTCCAATGCAGAGGCCATTTTTTGCTCAATACGCCATTATCTTATTCATGTCTTGTGGTAGTTTATCTTTGGAGTAAAAGATGACAGTACAGGATTAACATTAGGCATTGGGCTTTTGTTCGGAGAGCCCATTTAAACTATTACCAATACTAAGTTCCAGTTATCGGACACAAACTTTGGTGAAGTGAAAAGAATCGTCTCATTAAACCCAAATTTACCAAGTCACTCACCGCTCACAATCTGAATCGTCTCATTGAATCCAATATCAATTCAAAATTTATTAGCATTAAAAATACACATCCATATGTGGATTCTTTTAATCAATAGATGCTAGTACAAGAATTTTTATGTTAGGTTGCAGCATTAAAATAGGATGTCATTTCCCGAGTCAAACAAAGACATGTAACTTGTCTTCTAATTTCAACAGAAGTTATTCATGCATTTACCTAATTTGATTTTCTATGGAATTTAAAAATAAATTTAAAAATAAGGATGGTAAGAGAAAATAAAATCAGTAGATACACACAAAGTAACAGGCAAAGAAAAAATTCTATTTTCAGTCCACAACTACACTCACAGTGCACTGACCTGCAGGAAGATTCCCCCGTGACGAGGGAGGGGGGAGGGGCACGAAACACGCAAACCATTCTCACTTTCAGTTTTCGTATTTTCCTCTGTTGACACTCCGGAAGGGTTTTAATCATTCTAGAATGTTAAAAAACGAACTCAGAACCTATTTGAGAGCCCCTTTGCTCTTCAGTTTGTTTATTTGCATAAGTACCGTCCTGTCTTGCAGACGGCTTGGAAGCGCGGCAGCCGGTATGAGAAATTGGTAAGCCACACACTGCTACCAACCAAACAACGCTAATAACCTAGTTCAAAACGATGTTTTGAATATTTCAAACGATGATAATTGTTGATCTAAGATAAACTCCCCCTGTGGGACACTTTGGAGATGTTCAATACGAAATTTGGGAACAATTGGTGTTGTAGTTGCTGAGAAACGTGAGCGTGTACGCTACAGACTCACAGACGGACAGACAGACTCACGACCAGTCACTTTTTGGTGCGCCCAAACACGGCATGGGCTTCGCTATCGCTCAGCCAAACAATTCCTCGGACAATTTGCATTGTGTTTATTGAGGCTGCCAGAGAGGCACGCAGGCCTCTTGATTTTGCTCTGTTGATTCTGCACTTCTTCTTCTTCTTCTTCTTCTTCTTCTTCTTCTTCTTCTTCTTCTTCTTCTTCTTCTTCTTCTTCTTCTTCTTCTTCTCCTCCTCCACCATCCCCTTCTCCCCCTGCCCTTTTCGGGAACTTAGTTTCCACCATGCCACTTGCCCGGCCAGACTTGCCCCTATCCAGCCCGCTGTTTCCACATGCTATCTGCCATCGCTGCGGCCGAGGCTGAGGCCGACGCTGAGGCCGAGGCTGATGCCGGGAATTGAATCTCGATTGTGATTGGGGAGTGCGTTGCGTTAGGCCCGACGGTCCGTTCCAGGTCGGCAACTTAAGGACCGAACACGTGGAGGTGCTAGTGGGGGCTGGCCGGGCCACCGCCGGGCCACCGCCGGGATAGATTGGAAACAGACTTCATTGACTGGTTTGGACCCATTCCGGCTTGGGTATGTGCGCAGCGGGTGGGGTTGGTTGAGGGGCCGAGCGAATGCAAGCCGCGTGAGCTGAAAAGAGAGATGGGGTGGCAGGGAACGCGCGGTGGCGCTTTTGTATCGACTGCCGCTTGGACTTCAAATGTGGCCGCACGGACGGTGGCACGGAGGGAAACTGGAGTGCTTTGGGCGACTTCATGATTCTGCCGCCATTAGTCGGAAGGCCAGAACCGTTGAGGGTTTTGCAGGTTTGCACTGCCAGACCCGCTGGCGGAGACGCCTTCGTTACGGCAGCACTGAGGGCGGTCGCTGCGGAGGCGGGCCGGGCCGGGCGGCGGGAGGCGCTGCAGGCGAAGCGTTTGATGCCTCGGCTGCTTTGAGACCTCCGGGAAAAAGGGACGAGCCAGGAGGGGTGGGGCGTCGGCGCCGGGGGGCACGAACGCGCTGGTGGCACTCTTGGTGTGCATGTCACATCCACAATAGCATTCTAAGTGCGTCAGCTGGGCACCGCTCACCACCGTCCGACCGCCGCTGGGCCCGCCGCCGGGGCCTCGGGGCCGGCACCACCGGGCCCGCCGCTGGGGCCCGCCGCCACGCCCCGAAAGGGTCCCCCGGGCCCCCCACGCGTATCGGGAGGGGTGCGCCGCGCCCCCGCCCTTTGTCCTACATCCAGCCCCCAACCCCGACGCCCTGAGGTCGCCGTCGTCGCCGTCGTCCGGGCGACAAGGTGTCACAACGACGCCGGCGATGATTTGTGCCGACAGTTTGGCGTGACTTGGGATTGAACTCCGCTCCCCCGTCCGCCGGCCCGTCCGCCGGCCCGGCCGTGCCTGCACTGCGTCCGGCCAGCACGTCGACTTGGAGCGACATGGGTCGCGTCGACGCCCCTCCGTGCTCGGCGCGCTGCTCTGCTCGCCCGACCACGCGCGTTAGGCTCCGAAAGAGAGGCGGAAAACACCTCCTCGCTGTCCGACGCAGTGTGCCGCCTGTAATTGTGCCAACGACCGCGCCAGATTATCCCTGGGAGTGCTTTCGCCCCTTGGGTCGAACGATAACCGTACCGGCACTGCCAGTGCCCATGCTCTGCCCTCCGGCCGGCCACCGCTTGTTTCAACTTTTTTGGCTTTGGCCCTTTTCCCTCCTGGCCTCTGTGCGCCAACCGGACCGTCTACCTTCAAACGCCGCCCCGCGCACACACTCAATAAAGCAAACACCAGGAAACAAACCAACAGCACTTTGGTCGCTTGTGACACAGCATTCATAAAAGCCTCCGTACAGTTCTTGATCAAGTGGTCCTGCCTTTAATCACCGGTCCCTGTGAGCCGCGGACCGCTCGGCCTTGCCTGAGTGGTGCCCGTGCGGGGTATCGGAGCGGCACTGGGCCTGGCCTGGCCGGCTTGGCCGGCCCGTCAAACCGCCTCGCTGATGAAAGGCAGGCCGCCGTGTGTAGGTGGGCCGGGCGTTTGGTCGGCCAGTGCGAGACTCGCGTTGGCCCGGCTGGCCCTTTGAGGCCGCCAGGCTGCAGGCCGACTTGTCCCCGCCAGACGCAGGCTTATCGCGGCCTTCCCGCTCCAGCCTGCCGGCCTCGGTGCCGGCCTCGGTGCCGGCCGACTGGCGGCATGCACGACCCCGTGCTGCTCGACGATGCTCACGCCTGTTCCTTTTTGCAGGTGATGCCGCACACTATGACCAACGCGCCCTTCAACTGCACCGGCTCGGGCCTGAGCAAGCGCTGCGAGGTGCTGTCGCTGCTGGACACGGAGCTGCAGGGGGCGTCCTTCCACCTCGGCACGCTGCGCGTCGAGTGCTCGGCGCGCGTCTGGTCCCTGTACTACGGCGCCGTGCACCGCGACGTGGTGGAGGAGAAGCCCCGCCTCGGCGCCTCCGTCCTCGGCAACCGCGAGTCCGCCGGTAAGCATGTTACGGTTGGCGCATTGGCGGTCTACAGGTTCATCACCGATAGAAAAGCGGCACAGAACCGCCCTGAGGCGTATAGAGCTGCCGGCCGAAGCGCCGCGCCTTCCCGTGGCGGTGTGCTGCCAGGGATTCAAGCGGTGTGGCTACGATTACAGTGCAAACTTCAATTGCATATGATATTGCAATGATGATAGCTTCCCTGAAATGTCAGAATAATGGCACAAGAAAATTAACAGACGCAAATTTGTAGAATTTTGCGACCTCGGTAATTCATTGCCTTTGTCTATTTCTAGTTGGTGTTTTATCTAAGTTGCTGCCCGGTGCCTTTTGTGTGAGGTTGCGGTTGTGGGCTCCGTGACAATCTCCTCCTCTTCTCGAAAGTCCGGGTCGATCCGTTTTGTCCGTGGGGTGCCATTGGCCGGCTATCCCCGCCCTGCAGTTGCGGCTGCCATTGGCTGTGGCTCGCCGGCTCGCCGCACGCTCAGCCACCCTCGCCGCCCCCACTGTAAGACTGGTTCGGCCGGTGCCACTGGTGTTTATCTAGCGCCGCAGACACACAGTGTCGGCGCTTGTCCACCCGGTGGCAGTGTCCGACGGACTCGCCTCGCTGGCTCGTCTCACAAAGCAAGGGCAACAACTTACAAATCAAGAGTTCCAAAAAGGGGAATAGATATTTGAGGCTCCAAAACTGAAGTTTCCTCAACATAAAAAGCAAACAAGCAAAAAAACAATACTAGTTTTAAGACGTTTTAAAATTTAGCTGTTGACCTCCGTGCTTCGTACTCACTGTTTGCCTTTTTGAGGGTGGTCAGCGGACAAGTGGGACACAGCTGCTGGCGTTATTTTCGGAGATCTCATTCGTTTGAATTTAGAAAGATGCATTATTTCCGTTTCTTTGCCTGCCAAAGCACGCGGCTTGCGCACGAACGCTCTTTTTTTCCGTCCGTTCTTTCATTTCTACCGCGTTTATTCGAACGCGCTGTTTTATTGCCCTCACGCACAAAAAGTTGGGGGCCTAGATCAATTCGCGAGCTGAAGCCAGAGCAGATCTCCCTTTTTTTTGCTTCTGTTTCCGGGAGAAGGGAAGGAGGACGAAGGTCTCGGCGCAGCGGAAAGTCCATGTCGCGGGTTTCTTTGTACAGTCAGAAAAAAAGATCCAACGTTATGTTGTACTTCAAATTCGTTTCGTTGGCGCGTAATATCTTCGTTCGGACTGGCTGATTCAGAACGAGTGTCTTTTTCGTTCGCCCCAGTTTTGGTTTATTTTCAAATCATTTGCCCATTTCACCGTAATGAGTGCTCGACCGTCGCGTCAAAGGAAGGATACTTGGAAAGGGACATGAGTGGACCCCCTGACCGATTTGCTTTCATGCATCTTTAGCCATTAAAAAGATAAAACCGTGATCGCCACTCGCAATGTGTGTTCGGACGCATCAAACTTACCTATCCTGAATAAAATTTAAAAATGCACTTTTCTCCCACTGTTAAAGTAGTACATCAGTTACAAACAAAGTATTAAAAAAGTTCCCCATTTGATCCATATCGATAGAAAATCATGCGCTGAAGTCAGTGTTACCAAACAAAATGCTCCTTCCTGAACTCGTTTATGAGATAAATGCAGTCAAAGTTGGGATTTTTAACATGGGTCTTATGGGGAATGGGTCTAAAAAACATGCTAACGTTTACTTTTGGCACATAAGGAGTAATAAGAAGGCAATGAAAAACTATAGTTAGATAAAAAACACTACATAGAATCAAAATCCTTCCAGAAAAACGGGGGTCCCTGTCCATAGATGAGAACTACAGAACAAAGAATGTCCGAAAAATGCCCTCTTTTGGGTCAAAACGCGACTTTGGCCGTTTTCATAGTTGAATTGGTCAAAACCCTGTAGGGTTACATCAAAATTGCATATAACTTAAAACAGAGTTTGGAGCTTTATCTGTAACTTGATGCAAAGCTCAGAGCATTACGACAAATTTCAATTTCAAAAATTTTTGGCGGGAAGCCCTAGCTGATGTACTACTTTAAACATCGATATCAATATATTTCCGCCCGAAACCTTTGTTGTTATCAGGACTGTCCGTTGGTTTGTTTACTATGCTGACCCGTCTGCATCTTTTCTCTCCGCCCTTCCGCCTGGTGCGCTTCTGCTGATAGCTTTGCCCATTCCGGATCACGGCCTTTCCGTTAAAAGCGCCCCGAAGCTTTTCGTTCCGGCGTACCGATTGTGGCACTTCCCACCCCGATATGGGCGCCCTTTCATTCGCTCTTCCTTTTCTGTGAGTGAACCGGGCGAGATGCACCGAGCCGCCGGGAAACTTGACTGCGCTTTCCCATGGCGTCACTGTTAAGCCATTTTCCACACAAAATTCTTCTTAAATGTGGCCTTTTTTAAATTTTCCGTAGGTTCCAACTTCTTGACAGGGTGCTCGTTGGGGTGGAATGAGAACCTCTGTGGCAACGTCGAGTTCGGCAAACTCATCAAACCGTGACAAAAGCATTGATGAGAGAGGCTGGCTGGAGACGGAAATGTGTTCGGCCCAGACGACAGTCGAGGGAATAAAAGTGAACTAAAAAGAGCAGCCTCGATGGCCTTCCTGGCGCCCAAGGACTCCCAAGGAGCGAGGGGGAGGCTTGGTTTGATGTTCTGTACCTCTGGCGCACACATGAGTCCTGCAAGGGCCGGCAGGGACCCCATAAAGCTGTTTATGTGGGCGTGATGACCAGTTGGAGGCCCTTCCCGACCCTTTCTCTGCTTTACCATCCATGCAATCGTGTCCTTTCTTCATGTTTCGCGCCTTTTCGTTCGTTTCCGCCTCTTTCTAAACGCCATTGGTCACTGTTCTCCTGGAAAATGGCGGTTGGGTGCAATCTAAATCTAGAGTTCATTTCAATCCGTAATCATGGTGTGTGTGTTTTTCTGAATTCAGGACAATGTAGGTTGAACAAGTGGTTTACTTTGTGAGGACCACAATAATACATCAATAATGATACATTTAACTTGCCACTGCGAACCTGAACGGTCCTTATTCTTCTAGCAGTCTGATGAACGTGCGCACTCCACGCGCTCCAAAGCCAATGCCTGCATCCCCGCGCCCCGCGGTGCCACTAATCTTGCGACGCGATGACACTCACGCTCTCTGCCCCCACCTCGCGCAATTTGAGTTGTTGTGTCCCCCGAGCACATCGCCAGCAGGAAGCGTCTTGGAGGCCCCGCAGGGCCCGCAGGGCCCGAAGGACCCGAAGGGCCCGAAGGGTAGGCCAAAGGGTCGCGGCCGCAAGGGGCGCCCTTCCCCGCCACGCCGCGCCACGCCGCGCCACGCCAAGCCACGCCAAGCCACGCCGCGCCACGCCGCGGCCGCTGGCTCGGGGCTTAAGCGTGGCCCTGGTCGGCCATGCCTCATGTGGAGGGACGCCAAGTGAAATATGAGCGGCCCATACAGCCTCCGTCTCACGTACTGCACAGAAAATATTTTTGAAATGAAAAGGCGAAACAATAAAAATGGAACGGTGCGGCGCGGTGCCACACGCACACACGCACGCGTGCGCGCGTGCTCGATCTCACATACGCACGCGCACACACACACACACACACACACACACACACACACACACACACACACACGCTGGCTGATTGCATACACGCACACATGCCTCAGACACCGCGAATCATTTCAATCCATGGCCGTGACACAAATCACGTGACATGTAATGGGTGCACAGCAAAGGGAGGGGCTTCCAGATAAAGTCACATCTCTGGGTGTTCTTTGCGACACCACTCTAAAAGCGCGCTGGTACGTAGTTTCGATACGGAAATGTGTTGAAATACCAATGGGGTAAAAAAGGGCGGGGATGCATTTGACCCCCACCGTTTCTCCCAATGTTCCTAGCACTGCGATTGTGAGTCTCCGGCGGGAAGAGGGCCCCTTTGGCCGCGAGCGCGAGGCGGCCGGCACTCGCAGCGCAGGCAGTCGATACAAATGGAGGCCGATCTTCCCCTTTTCTCATCCCAGTGGAGGTGGCCGGCGGGGCCCCAGCGAAGCCCCAGCGAAGTCCCAGCGGGGCACTCGTTCCGTTTTCTTCATCCCGACGCGGTGCTTTTGTCTGCCGATGACAATGGCGAGTAGCCATCAGGATGGCCTCGCCGGCCGGCCGGCTGGGAATGAGATTAGCCCACACCGTCTGGCCGCTGAAAGAGATAAACTTAGAACCGAAAGAAAAATCGGCCACACACGTCCAAATGAAGAGCCCACAATGCACTGAACGGCTGAGCCGCAGACCGCACTACTTTTGCTCCCCTGGTCCGATTCACTGCGAGTCCCTCTGTCTCTGTCTGCAGAAGTACTCCCTGTCCCCCTCCCGCCGTCCGCACGCAGCTGGTGCAAGAGGAAAATGGGAATAAACGGTGTGCTAATGGTACTGTTCGAGCCGTTTACTCGCCCGTTTGCCGCTTTGCAGGCTTGGCCGCGCCACAATCCCGCTGCATCCCCCGCGGCCCTGCCGGGCCCTGCAGCCCCGCACGGCGCCATGAGCGTGTCCTATTTAGAGACACTTTTTGCCCCCTCCCCTCCGACCTCTCGGCTGCTCTGCCTGGCCGAACCTTTCCGATGCATTTAAGATACCACCGATCTGGAGCGGGCCCGCCTCTCTCCTCTTTTTCGACAGCCCCTGATGATGAGAGCGTTGATCGATAAGAAGGCAAAACCTTTGCCGCCCAGTGGGTCAGCGGCTGGCTTCGCCTGGCCCTCTTTCTTGTGAGTGGCTGCAATAATATTGCGGTGGGATGCGCTGATTTAATTCAAGTGCCGTGGCCGGCAGTGGCCCGGCAGCGCGCCGCGCGAGGTCGGTAATCTTGAGATTCACCGGAGCGAATTTCCCAGAAGACCCGCAGGCCTTAAAACTCCCCTTATGAGCCGGGCAACACATCTCACGAAACTTGGCCAGCGGGATTCCATAGATGTGGCCGAAGGTTCAGCAATGATGAAAAATGTAACGAGTGTTCCGGAACAGCGAACACCTATAAAGAAGGAACTAAGACAGAGAGCGAGGAAAAGTTACCGGAGAAAAAGGGGCGGGCCGGCGGGCTGGGCAGCAAGGTGATAGGAAACGAATACCATAGATAAGAATAGATTGGAAACTAGAGTGCGGCATATAGGAAAAGTTACGCCCTGGTAATAGAAATAAAGGACCGGCGTGCTTCTTCATTAGGTAGGGAGGGTTTTTTTTACGTTTTTCTCTGGTCCAGAGGCGACAGCGATCGCGTGGAATGGGCGAATGCGACGCCAAGGGCAGCGAAGGGCGTGGGAGTCCCTGGAATGGCTCCCTTCTAGCGCTCCTTGGGGTATCTCATGTCACGCTCGTCGTTCATTTACGACAAACATTTTTTCTTTCTTCTCAAATGGGTGACATTTAACCGACGAATGATTGCGACCTCGCGGCTCGGTTGGATCAATCTAACTTTAATTAATCGTACCAGGCCGGGCCGCAGGGCACCGACATGCTCTCGTTTTTCCATACGTGCAGTCTCATAAAAATAAAACGATCGAAAATGTACATCGAATCCCTGCATTTCGTCTGCTCGCATCAAATGAACGATACGCGAGCCAGACATTCTTTTGCATACAGAATCCGACCAGTAAACAGTACCGCAACAAAATGAATTCCTTGCTGCCACTCTATTCCCTTTTTCGCGTAGTTTACTTAAACTTGGAAACATCCCGCCGGGCCGCGCGTGATGGTTCTTGAAAGATCGTCCGGGAAGAAGCAAAAAAAAAAAAAATGGGATGTATAATTGTCTTGGAAGCTGTGTATCCTACAGGCAAGACCTGCCAGCAGCAGAAGGGGCGGATGGGAAAGTCACTCAGAGAGAGATAATGCGTGAGACAGAGAGCGGCGCGTCTTGGGCCGCAAAGTTATTTCCTCCGAGTATATGGCGTGGTTGCGAGTATTGAGTTTGCCCTCTTTGTTTCGGGATGTGTGCTCCTCGCGGTGTAATTTCGCGGGAGTGCTGCTATTGTTTGTCATTTTGGAGGGTACTCCTGCGCTCCACTCCGGAATGAGAAGAAGGCACGGAACGTCTTTTCGCAGACTGACAGGCTCTTTTCGGTCTGGGCTATAATTCCGCTCTGCAAAGGCTGAATGTCTAAAAAGCAGCTGCACGCTGGAAAGCCGTTTCCGTCAGCGCCGCGTGGTTCCCCGCGGGCACCACGGCACTGCACGAAAAAGTAGCGGGAATACCACGTGGGTGCATTGTGCGAAACACGTATTTGGAAGTTGGATTGTGCTCGGCCAGCCTCGTCCAGCCTCGCGGTCCTTTCGTTGCGGTCACTCATTGGCCACGTTTCACATTTCCTTTCCTCCCTTTCTTCTCCTCTCTCCCTGATGAACCCCCTCCAAAACCCTTAATCCCCAACCCAGATCCGATTCGCTTCTTTTCTTTCTTTTCCTTTCCTCTCCCCTTTTGCATCTCCCTTCCTCCTCCTTCCCCCTGCGGCCCCGGACACAACCCGACAACCAAAGGGATTTAGCGGGGCTTCGATTCGACACGCCGCAAATGCAACAGAGAAAGGCCCGGCTCGGGCAATGGTCTCGAACAAAAGCACCTTCGGAACACATTCCGCCCTCCCCTTTCACTTTCGTTCGGTTTTAACATCTCGTTTTCCGAAGCGATCCCTTTGAGAGCGTATCCCTCCATCCCAAAGTTCACCTTGCCCGCCACTCCACCACTTCCCTCCATTTCGCCTGCTACAAAGTTGGCCCCGGGAAAGGAGATACGCAAGAAATATTAGTATGGCACCCAGCCCGTGGGGACGTGTGCACAAAGTCAGGCAGTAACGAAGGCCGCCGCGGCGCGCCGCCGTCAACCCACTCAATACATGTCTTTTGGCCACCTGCTCGGTCGTGCACGGCGACCCGCTTCGAACTGGAACCGGCGGGTTGGCCGGCAGCCTTGTTATTTTGAGGGGAACGGGGCCTCTTACGTTGAACTCGGCGCCTTTTGAATTTCTGCAAGATATAGACCTAAGGCTGGCCACGTATAGTTTCGGTTCAGCCCGCATTGGCGTTCATGGGACGCAAGGGATGCCGGGCTGCGAAGCACAGCATCTTGCCCGTATGGGAAGCAGCTATCTTGGCGAAGCTAGAGGGAGGATGTTAGAGGTCTGCCGCAGCAGTTAAAACGGAACACATTGCCGCCAAATTAAGGAGTGGGGAAGACACTTCCAGGGCAGGAACAAAAGCATGGCGGCGCGCTTAGGCACTCCGGCAAGTGCGGCGGCGCCTCGCGAGGCACTTGGCATTAGCGGGCATAGCCTGGCACGGCCAGGGTACGGCCAAGGCACGGCTTGGCACGGCCTGGCACGGCCATGGCACGGCGAAGCATGGCTTCTCACACCTGCCGCCCCCACGGCTCGCCAGGCAGAGCGCAAGGCCCCTTCAGGAAAGCGACCCCGGATGCCAATGACGACAACGGCCTCTTTCAGGGCAAAGCATTGCCGCAGCCGTGCCACGCGTTTGTTGTACTGAGTGAACTGGTGCAGCATGTATTCTCTTCTCGGGATCTCAGTTGTTACAGCAGATGACACCTTGCTGTGTTCTTTGTCTTTGCGAAACATGCATTTTCGTCGAAACAGTATATTTTCACAAACCTGCCTTTTCTTGTTGCAGGTTTTGCTCCACGCTTCCAGTGTCCTTGGGGCCTGCTCCTCGCCGTGGGCTTTCTTCTCTGCCGGGCGCATCGAAGATAGCAGTTCAGTTTTGTGCTCTAAGAAACTACGGGAAGATATGATAAGACTGTCCACGGCGATGTTCGCCTTCAAGAAGTTTGCTCGCCTCTGTCACGGGGGCAGAAACTGCAAGTGTTGTGGTAACGGCTCTGAAAATTGAGGGCGTCATAGGTGAAGTTCTATGCGTCCATTCGATAGAAAATAATGACACGTCTGGAACGTGAGCATTCTTTGTATTATATGAGTACCTTCTGCTTAAAAGGAGGCTTGTGTTAATGTTTGATTTAAAAGAAAATTAAGGAATTGTGTGTGCGAGTTCAAAAGTTGGTCCTGGCAGGTTTCAAACAAACAATTTAAAAAGAAACAAAACTTTTTGTTGCTCGGCATTGTGAAAACTTGGATTTTGAGTGGTATCAGATTCAGGCATGTCTAGTCGTGTAAAAACAGTGCAGCATAATTTGAACAACTGTGCTCGCAAGCTACGACTGTGTGCCGTGGTACATCCTTAAACCAGCACAGTTGGAGCAAAGTTGCTTTTCCTTCAGAAATTCGGACAGGAACAGGGATTTCAGCTTAAGTCAGCATTGAACAGCTTTCATCATGAGAAGTTTATATATTTAAGGTTTTCTCCGTCTGCACGCCATTATTTTTGTATTTGTCGAAAAAGCAGATGTGCGGTGGAGGTTTTGTCATTAATCAATGTACATAAGTAAGGACTGTGTTAAGTTGTCGTCATATTAAAATTAAGTCGATATCACTTATTTTCTACATCCTCGATCAATTTATATTTTGTTCAGTGTTTGCAAATCATGTTGCGGAGTGGAACAAGTTCCAGTGCATTGCAAGGTCTCTTAATGTTGGGAGACAAAAACGTCGATCTATTAGCGAAGAGACTGGCATCCAGGAGGCTGCAGTAATTGGTTAACGGAGTCATTATAGACACGCAGCGTTTAAATAATAAAAACGGGTCTTATATACACGCAGCGTGTATATAATATAAATACATCTTATTTTCACGCAGCGTGTCTGCAAGGCCCAGTTTTATTATTTACACGCAGGAAAAGTTTTGCTGCGTGCAAATAATATTTTGGCTTTTATTTAAACGCTGCGTGTCTCCAAGGCACCAAAAAATTAATGGCACGCAGGATTGTAAAAAGTCTTCCGACCGGCGACTGAGTCCGACATGGCGGCTTGGTGGGTGAGTGGGTCCGTGCTTGCACGGGAATTTTTTGGCCCGGGTTCGAGACTCGCCTTCTTCTCAAAAAATTCTGCGTGTCAATAATGAAAACCGGTGTTGTTTGAACGCTGCGTGTTTATAATAAATTCACATGTTATTTACACGCAGCGTGTCTGCAAGGCCCAGTTTTATTATTTACACGCAGGAAAAGTTTTGCTGCGTGCAAATAATATTTTGGCTTTTATTTAAACGCTGCGTGTCTCTAAGACACCAAAAATTATTGGCACGCAGGATTGTAAAAAGTCTTCCGACCGGCGAATGAGTCCGGCATGGTGGCTTGGTAGGTGAGTGGGTCCGTGCTTGCACGATAATTTTTTTGGGCCCCGGGGTTTGAGACTTTGCTTTTTCTTAAAAAAATTTCTGCGTGTCAATAATGAAAACCGGTGTTGTTTGAACGCAGCGTGTTTATAATAAATTCACATGTTATTTACACGCTGCGTGTCTCCAAGACACCAAAAAATTATTGGCACGCAGGAAGCCCTTGTGTCCTTCCCTTTTGCGCCGTCAGTAGTGGGACGCATCTGTGGACGGGACAAAAGCCTAGACTCTTGTGTTTTGCGAATGAATCTAGGAGGTTTTGCCGCGTTCGCTACGCAACGCCACCCAGCGCGACATGAGCGTCAACACACCTCAAGAAACAGATGCGTACCACTACTGACGGCGCAAAAGGGAAGGACATAAGGGCTTCCTGCGTGCCAATAATTTTTTGGTGTCTTGGAGACACGCAGCGTGTAAATAACGTGTGAATTTATTATAAACACGCTGCGTTCAAACAACACCGGTTTTCATTATTGACACGCAGAAATTTTTTAAGAAAAAGCGAAGTCTCGAACCCGGGCCGAAAAATTCCCGTGCAAGCACGGACCCACTCACCTACCAAGCCATCATGCCGGACTCATTCGCCGGTCGGAAGACTTTTTACAATCCTGCGTGCCAATAATTTTTTGGTGTCTTAGAGACACGCAGCGTTTAAATAAAAGCCAAAATATTATTTGCACGCAGCAAAACTTTTCCTGCGCGTAAATAATAAAACTGGGCCTTGCAGACACGCTGCGTGTAAATAACATGTGAATTTATTATAAACACGCAGCGTTCAAACAACGCCGGTTTTCATTATTGACACGCAGAATTTTTTGAGAAGAAGGCGAGTCTCGAACCCGGGCCAAAAAATTCCCGAGCAAGCACGGACCCACTCACCCACCAAGCCGCCATGCCGGACTCAGTCGCCGGTCGGAAGACTTTTTACAATCCTGCGTGTCAATAATTTTTTGGTGCCTTAAAGACACGCAGCGTTTAAATAGAACCCAAAATATTATTTGCACGCAGGAACATTTTGTCCTACATGGGCACCGTAGGTAGACGTCTGAGGAAAAAAATCCTGCGTGTAAATAATTTTTTTTCTGTTATGTGCACGCTGCGTGTACATAAAGTCAAATTTTATTATTTAAACGCTGCGTGTATATAATATTAGTCATTGGTTAAACGCCTGGTCATGGCCTGGTTGGGCCTGATACTGTCTGAACACCTAAACAGCGAAGGAAACATTTGAATTTAGTCAGTTGACTTATGTACATCATAAGCCATCAACGTTATTTCTTGGTGTCGGGCGCGTATCTGGACTAGAAAAAAGGGATTATGTCGCACCTTTTGCCTACTTACAGACGGATAGTACTAGTGCCAACCTTTTGGCATTATATTAAGGGCATAAAAAGGAGGGGGCCATACCCCCGGACACCCCCACCCTCCGGATACGTGCCTGCTCGGTGTGTGATGGTAGTATTAATTATGTGGTGTCAAATTTTGCATCCTTATTTGTTAATGTCGTTGCATTTCCATTCATGTTGTATTTCTTTATGTATGGAGCATAGTAAATTTTTGTTCCCTGTTTCTTGTGCGTGGTGAGTAGGTTGCCTCTTAAAATGAAACATTCTATGTGATAAATGTATTATTGTAAGAACAGTTGCATAACAAATTGCTAGAGCTACAATACCAAGTAGTGTGCTCGTCAACAAAATATATTAAATTGTAAATATGAATGAAGCAGTGCTTCGAACGATTGGATTACGGTAAAGAGAATGCAACCCTGCATTCGGTTAAGATTTAATTAGGTGTGAATAATTAATGTTGTTGAAATTTCTTTTCAATGTTTCTTTTATTTCGTTGATTGTCAAAGAAAGTGAGTCGGAGTAAAATTGTAATTTAATCAGATAATTGTTTATTTGTAGCCAGGAGAGAAGTCCCTTTGGAACTCAAAAAAGTCAGCTTCAAGGATACATAGGATTTTTTTTAAGAAAAAGATTAATATGGAAAAAAATATTGTCTTGTCAAAATTTGAACATTTAAACAAGTCGTCGGTTTCCTTGTGTATTGCTGTGTCGGTTATCTGTATAGATGAAATAAATCTCAATTTACAAATGCGTTTTCTTTCCTTACACTTTGGCTTTCAAAACTAAATTAGAATTACTTAAATCACGCAAGATGGTCGCTGAGGAGACCATCCATTGTAGAAATAATTTTTGCCAATATCATGGAAAATTATTTTACAAGCATCAGTGCACTTTCGTTTTGCCCATCAACAAGCTTTTGGAGCTTATGGGGCTCTGGGGCTTGCGTGACTTTGACAAAACACAGCCTTAATGTCGGCCATACTCACGCAGCTGCGTTGGTATTCCAGCAGCCATTCTTTTTTCAGCCGCTTCACACCTGCAGCACTATCACCCTAATCCTTTAGAGTCACTGGGCGCCGCGGGCTGAAGCACCGCCAGGGTGGAGGCTGGCGAGGGCTGCGGGGGGTGCAGGGGGGTGCTCGCAATCAACAGTCATTAGGGAGCATTAGCGACTCGTGTCCACCTCATACTGGGACGCGGGGCGTGGCGGGGCGGTGTGGGGTGTGGCGGGGCCGGGCGGCGTGGTTGGGCCCGGGCCGCTTCCGACCTCCATATCTAATCGAGGGACCGCGGCGCCAACCAGCCACCCGCTGGTGAAATATGCCGCGCTTCATTATATTTATTTGATTGTAGGGACCGCGAGATAACGGGTGGTGCCTCGCCGGGCTGTGCGTGTGTGTGTGTGTGTGTGTGTGTGTGTGTGTGTGTGTGTGTGTGTGTGTGTGTGTGTGTGTGTGTGCGTAAGCGGGGAAGAGGTGGACTATCTTTTCGACCAGACGCGTGTCGGTCGTAAGTGGCTTCCAAATCGTCCTTTGTTTTTTCATCATTCCCCCGTTGACGGCTGCGGTTTAATTAGCGGAGGGTATTGAGGGTGGAATGCGGGAGTCGTCTTCTGACTCGGTGGCTCGCGAGTCGCTCGCGAGTGTGTGGCTGTGCGGTGTCGCGCACTGGTGCGCAGCGGTGCGCTCTGCACTGCGGTGCGCTCGCAGAACTGTTCCGCTGACGCCACGTGAATTTCGTTGTGTGTTGAAATCTGCATCCTGCATGTGCAGCAATTAAGCTCGACCCAGGCTAGTCTGGCGGGTAGCGGGCCGGGTGGGCCGGGTCGGGCGGGCGGCCCCGAGCGGGGCTGTGGGGCTGTGAGGCTCACAGGCATCCGGTGCCGCCACTCTCGCCCTTAGTCCTCCCCATTCCCTCTCATCCCTCGTGCCAGAGTCGGTGGCACTATCTGCATAACTCAGACTGCTTGCGTGTGTGGGCGGGGAGTGCGGGGCTGGGAATGCAAATAAGTTACGCTAATTAATTTTTATGAAACGAAAATCTGGCCTCATATTAGTTGCGAAAACAACGTGACGATGATTTTAAATCACTGCTATCGTCGAGTTTGTTTATGTTGCAAACACATATTTTGATTCATTATACTACCTACCAGTTGATTAAACGACTATTAACAGCAATCTCCTACAAAATTTTACAACGGTGATAGATGGCGTGATCTTAACTGCACCTACGACCTTCAGCTATGATATCAACACGCAAAAGCGTAACAAAACACTGATCCTTATAAAAATTTGGTACATTGGCTTACTATAAAATCTTCGTCAAGATCAAGAACGATTTTGTCACAAATAACTCAATACCACTCTTAGAGCAGTGAGTGAATCGTGCATTATAGTTAACAGTGTATCTCTAATGATCTGAGCCGATATCATTGAAACGTACAACACTGAGCCACCAGAGCGGGCGCAAACCGAAAGGGTTGGGACGAGGGAGGGGGTTACGGGGATTTTACCTCAGGAGTAGTGACGGTGGAGGTTAGGGGTCGTTCGAATGGCCAGTGGTCCCCATAAGTTCTCGTATGTACTTGTTCTCATTCGTCTTACTGATGCGACTTTACGTTAGACACGGACACACACCCTTGCGGTCCATTACAACCATTCTCCTGCCCTGACGACAAAGACCTGGTCTTCTCTGGTATGGCATCTAACGAGTAAAACTGGCAAGTCAATTTACTCCAATCCGACCTGCAGGCCGAGTACAACACAACAGGCCCTTCTTAGTCAGTTTGTAACTTCAACGAGACGAGACACATTCTCTTAGTGCATTGTTTTTGCCAAAAAACGCCTAAAGAATGCCAAACTAAT